TGAACGGTCAATGAATCCTAATCAAAAAGAACATTTTCACACCATCCATCAATTGGCTGATCTGCTTCAATGCTTTGGAAACTTCATTTATGGCTTCTTAAATTCATACTTTAATAACAATGTTGTAGTTCACACAATTAATCAATGCCAACATAGTATGTGCAAAGGTACTACACACACACTCATTTCATTACGAACAAATGTCTGAGGTGAGACTATTTCATTAACTTGTGCAAGTACTCACAGAGAAGAAGTACATATTATGAAATACACCCTGACTTTAAACCGTGGTAAACTACTATTACTACTATTCTTACTACATGTATGAATCAGAAGCACACTCTCTAAGATGAATTACATGCAGAATTAATTTCTGGATAGCAAGTAAATGTTATTCACACAGAGCTTCATTATTCATCCATGCCGGGGTAATGTCACTAATAATTTCCCGTGTGCCTTGGCTCGAGTGTCAGAGACGTTTTCAGCTTACAGTGTATGGTAAATATTTAAATAAAGAATGAAGTGGCATTATGAGCCTTCAGAGGAATGGGGATATTATAGATTAATTTCATTCTTCAACTTAATGAATTATTCAAAAATACGATGCTTTCTTATCCTGCTAATTACATTGCATTCATTACATATATTGCTTGATGTTAGAGAAGAAATGAATGTATTGAAGGTTCTGGGGAACTCCGATAAAGATCAGCACAAATCCTTGGGTAATCATTAACACATTGTTGTATCAAATGAACCAATCATTAATCATCTTAGGCGCCGTTTACACGAGGAGAAAACTGCTTGTATCTGCATAGTTTCGCGTGCGTATAGCCCTATTATTTACACGAGGCCGATAGAAACTGACCCCACAAACAATAACGGGTCCCAAGGTGGATAGATTTGCAAACGAAACGCTCTGGGGGGTCAACCGAGTCCGTGTAATCACCTCGATACGAATATTTCCTGAAAAAATAACGATAGCCCCGCCTCTCCCCACCTCTCCTGCAGCAACTATCAAAAATAGCTGTGTTAATTAAACGCACAAGGGGTTCTTGAATGAAATAATATTATAAAAGGCAAACCAGAATTGTTAACGCCCAATATACTCCTTAAACAAAATAAACAGAGTCAGATTTCATGCATTGATCCATTATATTGACAAAGGAGGATCTCACCCGGTGTTTGTAGAGAATATCTCTCTTTCTGAGCCGTCCTCTCCACAGAGACGTGCTTCTTGGTCGGTCGATGCAATATCCACAGATTCGGTTTCTTTCAGTTTCTTTCAGTTTCAGTTTCAGTTTCGGGGCTTAAACAGAAGGGTAGCCATGGCAACATTCAGTGGCGGCTCCAGAGTATTTGTGTTGGGTAATCTATGGTAGGGCTAACCCATACAGTGGTGGGGCTCAAGTCAGTATTTGCAATGTAATTACATACACGCTATATCGCCCCCCTTGACAGTGAAACGCCACGCGTGAGGTTTAGATTATTTCCCTGTCTCAATCCAAATTGAACTGTATGAAATAAAAAGGCACATTTGTCTTGTAGTAAATAAAAAGGGCGACCTGGAGCCAATCCTGCAATTTCCCCACAGGTGAAAGAGTTGACATGCTGAAAACCCAACCCCTGCAGGGGGGTCTGGGGGGATTCTCCCCCAGGAGATTTTTTGAAATACTAACATAAAATACACATTCTGGTACTCTGTTGAGAAGAAAAATAAATAAATCTATTACTACATATTTAAAAAAATGAATGCCATTTTTGTTTTTTGTTACTTTGTTCTGAAAGCTGAACCTGCTGCTCCTCAGAGAGAAAGGGGAAGAGGCTGTGTGAATTACATTGTGGATAAGGGTGGATAGCCCCCATTGTTCTGTGTGTCAAAATGAAAGACAGCCCACACACCTATCAATCATCAAACCGTGGGGTCTTATTTCACGTAATGTTGTATCTATGTATATAGAGATGTACTACCGCTAAAGTATTCTCCGTCGGGACTTCCTGCACGCCGTTATCGTGATTCTGATTGGCCAGAAGACATTATCAAAGATGTTTTATTGGGAAGAAGATCACTACGTGACAAAAGTTTTCAAAACCGTTTCTAGTCTTCGGTATTTCCAGACAAGTGGCTACTGAAATCAATTTTACTAACTGCTGTCTGTGCAATTTACTCCGCGCGAGATGACGGACTTTATTTAGCTTACTTTAACATCATTTTTCATGGTGGGGCTAAGGTGGGGCTAAGCCATTTCTTGGTATGGCTGTAGCCTACCCCAGCCATACCCTGGCGCCGCCACTGGCAACATTGCAGCGGGGCTGCTCGGTTGCTCTTCTTCGCGGCTTTTGGTGTATTTTGGCGGAAGTTACAGCGCCACTTACAGTCCCAGCATATGTACTACAGCGTTTCCAGCGGCCTCGTTTGAACAGACACGTTAAATGAAACTAATGCATGTGAACGGAAGACTTTTTTGAATACGCATACTGTGCATAAACGCAAACGGTCCCGTGTGAGCGGGGCCTCAATGTTATAATCTGTGCACAATAGACACCTAAAATGTATACATAATGAATTGTATGTAATTGTTTGTTAAAATAAACATTTAACTAAAGTTTAGTTCAACTTTTTCAAGTAATTAATTAAGTATGTGTTTAAATTCCCTCCTTCTTAATTACAAGGGGGAAAAGCAATTGTGTTAATACGAAAGTTCGGAGGTGCTCAGAAATCTTCACCAAACACCTTTCAGTTCATCCAGGTGAGCAGTTCTCACTTTAAAAGAGAAAGCCCATTTTGTGGATTAAAGCAGAAGGGGAGGACAGAGTTTCCAGTCGTTCCCTCATGGCTATCAAACTAAGTTGGGGTCGATCTTTGAGGAGACCGCCCGGCTCCATATGGATTTGTGAAAATCAAAGGGAGGTGCTGATTAGAGGATGGTGCTCAAGAGACTTTCACCCTGATTAGAAAAGAAAAAAAACGAATCAAAAGAAAGAAGATGGGGGACGAACAGAGGTCAGAGACGGACAGACCTCCACTCAACAAGTTCAGAGTCCATCGGAGATTTTAAAATGTTTTTTAAAGAGAAAATGTGCTATTTCATATTTATTTCATATAACAATTATTATATATTTTAAATATATATATATATATATTTTTTTATATATTCTTTTTTTAATGAAATTGTGATTAAAATGTATAAAGTTATTTTTATTTATTTTTAAAGTGGCAGTCTTACTGATACCCAGATTATTACTATTATTGTTCTTCTTCTTATTGTTGTTGTTTTAATATGACATTGTTATTAAAATACATTTGTAGTTTGTTCTTCTTCCAGAGTGGGAGTCTTACAGATTACACATGCCTCAGCCTCACTACTCATTAGTATGCAAATCAAATCAGAGTCCTGACACAAGCCCAGAGCAGAGTCGGCCATTGATAAACTGAATGGAGACAATTAATTGCGTTTGCAGTGAATAGAGGAATGAAACCTTCTGGCCACCTAGAATAATCCATAATTTATGTCAAATGAAAGACAAAGAAACATTTGAATTAACTGTCCAAAATGTCTATATAACCACAAAAACTGAGGTATTAACAGATACAACTCAACAGTTATTTGAGTCTGCCAAAACGACTTTGTAGACTTTGAAATCTTTGCATTACTTTGTACACATTTTTTTTTTAATTGAACCCAAGAAAAAAGCATGTTGTTCAAATCTTTGCTGTCGACCATTAACTTTATTATACAACATTATTCCCTGTACAATGATTAGTTTGGCGTTGTGAGCAACAACTGAAGCTCTCTATCAGCTGAGAATTATTGTCACAAACAGATGGAAGGTTGCACAGTGTATTTTTTACTTTTGGCTTTCTTCAGCTCTATAAATTGAGCTACTAAAAAGTTTATAACGTGTTCTGTTATAAAATTCCTTTTGATATAATGCCACTTGATGTCAGCTTTGATGCATTATAAAATAAAGGTCTATTCTTTAAAAAACGTTCCATTATTATTTGAAAGCAAAAATTCAACATGTATATTTTCTACTTTCTTGTTTATTTCTTGTCTTTTAATTTGTATTGCACAATGCCATGTCTTTTTATGCTGCTGCAACACAAAAATGTCCCAAATTGGGATCAATAAAGTTCTATCTTATCTTATCTTATATTATGTATCTTTATAAGCCAATTACACAATAAAATGATTTCTGTGCATCAAGGAGTGTTAATAAATCCATGATTTATTTTATCTGGTTAAATATTGTTTTTTAATTATTATTCTGATAGGTCACTTTATGACCTGTCACCCAGTTTCTACAGTGGCTCCTTTAATCACAGAAATGAATCTCTGGTTGTCCCTCAAGGTGAAGCTCGGCTGACCACAATAAATGTCAGACCTTTAGATTACTTTTTGGCTTAAGTTGCAGCAAGGATAAGACGACTTTCATCCCCTCAATATGTGGTCTGCACTGACAAGCCAGACACGCTGGGTCTGTGGACACAAGCTCCAGCCTGTCTTCCTAGGTAAATAAATCAACAAGTCGATTATTCGGTTGGTCTGAGTCATGAGATAAAAGGGTCATCTGATCCACCTTTGGCCTAGTTTCCCGCTGTCTCTTCCTCTGTGTCCACTGACATCAAACCTGCTGTACTCACCCTTTGAGAGATGGCTTGTCAGGACATTGCATCATGTGCAATATGTGCAATATATATATTCCGTGAATAACTGTGCAATATGGCTGCTACATCTTCAGAACTGTTACAGGCTGTGTTTTTTGTAAATTGTGTAATTCTTTAAAAATGTTTAATATTTGTTTTGATTTTTATGCATACTTCTTGTTAAACATTAAGCTGTCTTTGGCTCTTTTCTGCTGTAACAAATGTAAATGTCCCCTCTGTGGGAAGAATGAAGGTATTCTGATTCTGATATCTTTTCAGACACTGACAGGAGTCACTTGTTAAAGCTCTAAAAAAACGTAGTAAATCAACCCTCAGTATTTTGAGAACACTGATCTCATTTTGACACGTTTTATTTGAGGATTTTTTATCCTTAAAATTAATCTTAAAAGGGTTACAATCAAAGAAAAGTGGCTTTAACATTTTACACATTATGCATTGAGATCAAGACGATACACACCATCACAGATTTGATCAAAATCAAAGTTCATCTTGAAAGGAAATGTCATTGTAGGATTAATATCCATATACTGATATAAAACTGTATCACAAATAAAGAAAAAGCATAACTGAATATATATTGAAGAAAAAAACAGGAGTGATTAAAACCTAATTTCCCTGTCTGTGTAAACAGCAGCCCCAGATAATTGCCTGCTATAAGGAGGAGGATATGGGGAATTCATGTGGGGATCATTCATTTATTAATTTTACATGTCATCAGCATGTGGTCTCAAGCGGGCGGAGCGCTGGGGATCCAAGGTCAAAGACGCTATGTGACCAGTAATTGGGTCGACATGGAAATGACCCATTCTTTCCTCCTGACTGCTGTTTAGAGACATGGGCTCCACATTGGACTGGTCTTGGTTCACATGCATCTTTCCCATCATGGTGGTAATATCTTCCAATCCCCTTTCCCCGGGAAGATGCCTGTGCAGAGGCTCCGATTCGTCCTCAGCAGAAAATGGGGATTCAGTGATATGCAGCACTCGGGACGCCTGTAGGTTCTGCAGCGACCGTGACTGGACTGTGGGAGAGGAGGAGAATACAACAAAAGGGTTCAAGCCTCTAGACGTGCAGCTCTGCTTATTATTAGTACTTATAAGTACTTCAAATTCAAACTTAAAGACTTTAAAGGCTCTAAAAACAGAGCCTTTAGCACTCGGTAAAAGAGCAACATCAACTGCTGTCAAACAGCTTCTGGTTACAAATGACACGTTGTTGCTCTGCGAAACCTGACCTTGCCTCATGATTAAAAAGTAATTCATCAGAAGCTGTTGACATTCGATCAAAAGCCTGATAACCATAATGATAATACATGTCCTTGGTTCTCTGAAAATTGGCTCTAATCTTTCGATTTTTTGTCAAATCCTCAGAAAGGTGGAGCTGGCTTTGGAGCTCTGCAGGTGGGAAGCCTTCCAGCAGCGGAAGATACTCCAACTCTAACAAGCTCATGTGACGCAGAGGTGCTGGAGAAGTTTGCAGACAGGTGAGAAAACGGCTACTTGGTGCTGAATGGTACTCACTTCTGACTGGACTGAAGTCTTCTTGGCTGACCTTAGTGTCGGAGAAAGGCTTGAGGTTTGGGAACAGGATTAGTGAGAAGGACAGCAGAAGCACCTGAGAATGTGATAACAATGCAAAGGATGGGGGGGGAAAGTTAGATTCAGGATGACATTGAAGAAAGTTACTGCTTGAAAAAGCTTTGATCTAGTTTTTATTTGGTTTGGATAGTCCCTCTACAAAAAAGTTTTTTATACAATGCTCGAGGAAGTAATCATATTCATGCTGTGCTTTTCTCACGAAGTATAGAATCCTGTGAATGGGAACTGAGATTCATCGATATTTTACAAATTCAAAGTTCTTTTTTTTTCTTTTTCTCCACCAATGTTGCTTCAGGTCTTGCAATGTATTTGAGTGGAGTAATCAGATGCAATAAATGGCCTCTATTCAGAAAGTGAACCATTGTGCACATATCTGGGTTGGCTTTTCTCAATGGATAATACAACTGTAATGGTTGTTGCTATTTGGCTTGCTACGAATGTGAATTTGTTTTTACAATGAGTCAGATGGATTTGTTTTGTCCGCCTGACGCACGCACGTACCAGCACGCATGTTCCAGTCTGTGCTGGCTTGTTAGATGTATTCATGACCAAAGCCTGAAGCCTGCGCAACTGCTCCATCAGTGACCTGCAGAGAGGATTAGGAAAAAGGAAATACAAAGAGAAATAAGAAATGAAAGTTCGACAAAAATAATTGGATTGACAACGGTTTGAAGGAACAGGAGGTAGATGTAACACGCTCAAGGCAGTTTCTGAGTGAAGGCAATGTCATTGCAAATACTTCAGGAAATGGAAAAGGAGAAGTCCTTTATCTCTCACATGTTGCATTTCTGCAGCTGGGACACCTTCCTCTGAAGCTCGTGGTTGTGAGCATTGCAGGCAGCCATCCTAGGGGAGATGAAACACAGAGGGGGGGGGGGGGGGTCAGGACAAGGTGAAATCTCTCACAGACAAAAATATAAGGATCTCAGTTATTCTGGTACTGCAAAAAACTATTTCATTTCATTTTTATTTGTTCCGCTCATGGTACGCAAAACTCAATGTACAATATTTGCCAACAAAACATGTCTCTGCAAACACACAATTGAGCGAAAAGGAGCAGGGAGAAGAAAAAAATCTTATATGACCTGCCCCTTTCTAAAAAAAAACTAAATAAATAGAAATAGATGGTCTGCCCTACATAAAAAAAAATGTTTTCACAGCCAAACATAACAGTTTCTTAGGATACTAAGAGAAACACAAAAAATACTTATTTCCCACTTGACGGTTAACAGAAAGAAACAACAACAACAACACCAAAACATCACATGTATAAGGAAAAGGAAAAGTGCAACACCCTCATCTGAGTCCTACTGGAGAAGAAGGTGCATAATAATAATAATAATAATAATAACATGATTTATTTATTAAAATGTTTGATAGGCAATATATATGTTAAAGCCCAGGGAAGGCAATCTGTTCTGGAAGATTTTGAAAATGGCTCTTCTTATTCAGGATAATATTTAAATAATCACATGTCATTTCCAATGGTCATTTCACACATTTGACTCCAATTCTAACAAATTGCACCCTCTTTGACTGCAACATATTTTGTTTGCAAATCTTTGATTATTTTCCACCGGTTCAGCCCTCGACCATCAACACATGTGTCCCTGCTCACGAACCCATTAACATATGCATGATCAAATTAATGGCATATCTGAAGCCGTTCGGGTCCCTCAAGGCTGATGTTTTCACAAATGTTTTCTGCGTTTGGTCTGTGACGGTCAATAATATAGAGAGAGATATAGTTCAAACATGTGAAATAGTCACCTTCACTCCTTTTACTCGTAACTAAATGTAATTCGTACCTGCTCTCCAGCCCATCAATATACTCTTTCTTCTTCTTCCTGCTCTCCTGAGCAGACTGCTTATTGCGAATCTTTCTGCGTATTTTCTTCAGTATCCTTTCTTCGTACTAGATTGAGAGAGGGTGAACATTTTACATTTTCAACCTCTAAGAGATCAAATCTGCAAGACGATAATTGTTTTCACTGTTGAGTTATTGAGTTGTGTTTACCTTTGTGAGAGGCAGCTGGCCGGGCAGAGTCACCCCCTCCTTCACCAGAAGCTTCTTCTCATCTTCATTGAGAATCAACTCTTGAATGGATTGTTGGGAAGTGTTTGGGACCTGGTGGGGAGACATGAATACTAATATTTGAAACATAATCTCTGCTGTGTGATTAAAATATCTTTCTCCTCCTCCTCCTCCTCCCCCTCCTCCTCCCCATCTCTCCCTTAAGCCTCGCAGTGGGTAGTTAAATGAGTGCAGACCAGGCCACCTTCAACGCTCATATTTCATGGCTACCTCGAAGCAATTGCGATGTGAGAACCGTAGTTGCTTTCTGCCACTCTCTCCATCTTATTAAACTCATCTGTGAAGATAGGATCAATGAAACACACACAAACTCAACCTCAATTTTCAGAAGCACAACCACCGTATAACTTCTGCCAAGGATGTTTTAGGTTTGGATTGTTTTTCGGTTATTCTGCAGGGTTACAGAAAAAACACAATTAAACTTGGTAGATGGTTGTGTCAATGGCCAAGGCAGAACACTTTTATATTTTGGGCCGTTGAATAGATGCATTATTTCTCACATATTCAAACAGCCCTGGCGAACGTTTGCACTCTTCAAGTACCCTACAAGTACAGTCTGAAGTGATGTTGTGTGGAATATAATGATTGTGACAAATATAATAGAATGGGTTGCAACAAGGTTCTTGGTGAAAAGTTATCTAACTAATGGATAATGCGGCATAATACTGGTAAGATACTATCACAACGTGCAATGGTAATGTCTGCATTCTTTAACAGAGGTTATATCTCAAAAGTTGTTAAGAAACTATTAAGGAGTTTATGAAATCATGATATCAACTTCAACAAAATAGAAACTTAAACTGTGCTGAGTAATCCTCCTCTCTTTGTCAGCATAAACACTTAAAGGTAGGGTAGGTAAGTTTGAGAAACCGGCTCGAGATACACTTTTTGTTATATTCCATGGAATGCTCTTAACATCCCGATAGCAATGAATATCTTAAGTGCTTTGACAAAAAATCCATAACAAAATGTCATCTGTGGAAGCCGTAATACTGTAAAAAGCACGACCAATCATTTTAGCCGGCCCGGCTAAAATAACTGGATGGCCTACCTGCCTGTCAGCCTTCCATCGGGGCACAAACTTATCTCGTGCCCTCATTACCTACCCCACCTTTAAATAAATATTCTATAAATAAAGTATTAAAACAGGAATTCAATTAGCAATTCCAATGCTAGATCCCTTGGTGAATCCATAATTTCAGCGAGTAAACTCAGCTGCTTATTTTCACTGAGACACACACACACACACACACACACACACACACACACACACACACACACACACACACACACACACACACACACACACACACACACACACACACACACACACACACACACACACACACACACACACACACACACACACACACACACACACACACACAGGGAGGAGGTTGAAACTGGGAATTTAGAAAGGCTGAATGAGTCACTCTTATCGTAAATGTCCTGTACGAGGCAAGCAGCCAAGGAAAGATTCACAAACCCCCGTGAGACACCATCGCTCTCCCACCTAGCTCTCCTGTACTCTCCCTATACCGATAAACTCCCACCTCATTAGGTCACACTTTCTCACTTACAGGCTCCGGTGTGCCAGACAGTAGCAGATCCTTGACAGTCAGCGGGAAGCCGGAGTTCAGCTGTGACCTGTGAGCATCAGCAGGATACGGTGTGATCCTCATCCTGTCGTTTGGTATTCCAGGACCCCAGCCATCTGCAACCACACAGACACACGAGTATACATAAAGCATGTGCAAACAGAGATCAATGTGACACACTGCTGTCATCAGAATCAGAATCAGAATCAGAAACAGAAACAGGTTTATTAGGTTGACACGTACGAGGAATTTGGGCCATGGGTCATGGTTTAGGTTGGGTGATAAATAATACAAAAAAGGAGAAATTACATTTGGAGCCTAAACATTAAACAAATATCAATTACTCTGTTTGGTTCTCAACATGTGTGTTATAGCCAATACTAATAATGAGTGATTGTACTTTATCTTTGTTGTACTGGTGATCCAGGGATTCAGTTGCAAAATAAATTGTGACATTTTACATTGTGCATTCTTTGTTAAGACCTAAGACTGAAAACATGTTTTAAGATAGTGGATCAGACTGAAATTAGGTTTTGCTCTCAGTAAATAACCCAACAATTAATTGATAAAATGGTTATAATTCATTAACTGTTTTTTGTTATGGAAAACCTTGCAGGCTCTCAAATGTGAATATATTTTTTTCTTTCAGTTTTTAATAGACTTTGTTGACTGTTGGCTGTTGGTCAAACCAAACAACAAACTGATTAAATAAAAACGATTTAATGGGAGGCTCAGTGAATGATTTGTCGTTATTATATCAGTTATCCAAAGAAAATGTTGCTTAATATAGCCTCAATGTGTGTGAAATGGTTAAGTAATGTTGAAGAGGTAGTTTTGGGGGAATTTTATAGTTTTTCCCACTTTACCTGAGTCAGAAACTAATAAATTCCTTAGGACAGAGTTTTTATGTTTGGTTTTCTCTAATGATTTGTCAAACAACAAATATAAGGCTACCTTGGCTGAATTGCTGAGTGTCTATGGGATCAAATACCATATTTCGTAATACCACCTGGCTCTTTTCTAAGCTTTGTCTGACAATTGATTTCCATAATCGATAATGAACATTATCATGAGTTACAGTCTTAGATTTGATGTTGCATTAGGAATGTTTTATCTGTGGATATTTGAGACTCACTGAGGTCAATGGAGAAGTTGGATTCCAGGTCTGCCTTGGTTTGTGGCCTGGAAGCAAAAAACGGAGTGTCCCCAGGGGGGCTCTCGGGGCGCTGAGGGCTGTCCATCTGGTCTGAGGGGGGGTCCTCACTGATCCCACTGTCACTTTGAGAAGGGGACCAGACAGGCGAGCCTGACACAGAATCACTTCCACTCAGGAGGGCATTGAGGAAGTCATCATCTGCCTGCTCGGCCGGCTGCAGCATCTGCTGGGTGGAAAGGGGCATCATTAGTCTGTCAGCATGAGCTGTCAACATGGCGAGAGATGGGGGAGTCTTTTTTATAAAACAACGAAGAATATACAGTACACACAAAGCAACCAGCTATTTGTAGCATGCATGAGTGACATTAGATAGCCCACAGCCTCACGCACATTTGAGTCCTGGACCAGCCAGGTGTGATGGTTGCCTTGGCGTCCTGGTTCCTCGTGACGGAGAATTCCATCGTTTTGATCAAACAGCCAATCGAGCAGTTCCATGCCATCACAGTCCTGAAATGACATCATGACTTTTAATCACAACACACACAAGGGAGTATGTCCTTCATGCTCTGAGAAGCCAAGAGAGCACAACATAAAGGTTTCAGCTGGGGACTGCTTTCCTAACCATTCACCGTGATCGCACCAGAACACACTGTACTGTACAATATGTATCGCCATCTGCTCAGATATCTGACAATTTTACGGTTATGCTCATGTCCCTCAATGCCATTCTAAATGGTCTTTTTGTCCTTAGATTACAGATTTTATTGTACGCTTGTGATTTTCTCTCAATCCTGAACTTTGCTCTGTTCTCTTTCCCAAGAAACTCAAACGACAATGCAATAAACAGGAAGTATTTTTGTTCTTTACCTGTTCTTGGTAGTCCTCCATAGTTGTCTTTCTTCGTTGGAACACCAAAGAAACCCCCAAGACAACAGAAACCCAGCCAAAATATCAAATGTACTTTGTTGTGGAGTAGCTTTGTCTCCCCGCTCATAAAGAGCCTCCACTGTATCTCTCGGCTCTTCTGTTCTGGTCCAAAGTTTAAACTCCAACCTAACACACCCAGCCAACTGGCTTGCTCTGTCCTCATTGGCTACGTAGAGATATAATCTGATTGGTAACAAAGAGTACACAACTAAGGAACTTCCGAAGTATCTATAAACGGAGGACATGAGGTCTACACTAAGATGTTAAAACCCCACGAGGGTCAAAGTCTGTTGTTTCTCTTTCCTTATTTTTTTATTTTTATAGCTTATTGACATAAGGATAGCTCTGACCTTTGGCATAGGTGTATAACAAATGAATGTACAATGGTCAGGATTAGGAAAGCAAAAGTTACTCTGGTTTCAAAAGTAATTAAAACATCTCTGCCGATTGAAACAGCACTGTTAATTTATAACGCTTAATTGTTTGTTTTTTATTTAGTTGTTTGATAATTAAACAAATAACTAATTAAATACCCTTTGCATAATATTGTGTTGTCAAAGTTCTTGAGGAAATTGGGAATAATTGATGTGTATAATAAATGGGATACAAAGCAATCAGAGGACTCTAAGAGCAATTATCAGCCTCTAAGGCAGCTTAAAAAACCTAAGTATCTATAATTATAAAATCTTGTTATTGTTTCCAGCAAAGCTTTAAGCCAGATTTAAAGTACCTTAACAAGCACACAGATGAATAAATACATAAATCGTAGAGGAACAAGGAACCACAAACAACGTCTGTATTAGCCATGCAGTTATAGATAGCACTTGGACCCTATGAATTGTTTATGTAAGATGGAAAAAAGGAAGATAAACAGAAGAAAAATATCAAGATATACAAAGTGGGGAGCAGTGTTTTCTGAGGATATTGGTGGGCTATGTAGGGTTAGGTTAATTTCATTTTTTTTTTAGCTTGTGCAGTTTTCATGTACATAATTCACTTTTTTTACCACATGAAATGAAGGAAGATTGATTCAAAAAGTATGCATTTGTCTGCTGTTGTAGATATACCATGGACAGTCAGCTTGTAAATACGACACTGTTGACAGTTGACTGTCAGAGGAATTGTTTGATTTGAGAAACATGGTTTTTCCTTTTGATGGCGAGAGTTAGACGAGGAAATGGATACCTCTTTCATGTCTTTACGGTGAATGTGAAGCTTCAGCCTGCAGCAGGTTGTCTTAGCTTACCACAAAGACTGGAAACTCAGGGGAAACGGACGTCTTGGCTCTGTTCAAAGATAACAAAATCTTCAAGTGTAAAAGCATGATCCCCCCCTCTCCCAGTAGGAGGAGGCAGTGATGGAGGAAGCTTTTGTAAAGCAGCAGCACAGCAGTGTCAGTGAATATGAGAGCTGAGATGTGATCTGTACGATAAGGTAGCAGTCAGCTGACGCAGCACAGTTACAGTGTCTTGCCAGGACACGTCTATTGGGTTTTCATAAAAGAAGGATTATGTAATTGTTATTGCTTCAGTATCTGATGGAGGAAGGTTCCAAAGGGCAAACGCTCTTTTATTACTTGGATAATCAACAAAAAGAGTCAGATGTGTTTAAGGAACCACCAGTGTGTCTACTTCTTTATCTATCACTGTTAGTCAGTGTTTGAACCAGACTCTCAGCGTCTTTCTTTCAGGAATCTCACTCAACAACAAAATGGAGACACCTTTTATAATTTGATCTTTTCAGTCAGTGGGTTATTTAGTGCTGAGTTTTGTAAATTGTAAATTTTAAGTAAAGAAGTAAATGTTCAATAGTACAAGTAAAGACAAATATGATGTATAACCATGAGGTTTGTTATGAAATACTGCACTAAATGTTGAAATGATAGTGAAATCACTCCAGGAAAGCCAATGTCTCCAATTATGCTCTCCAGAAGATGAGTCTCATACTGACTTTGGTAATCCTCTTGACATTTCCTCTAGCACTGCCAGCAGGAGAACACTTTAGATTCACTTTCTGGGGTTTCCCTTTCCTGTAGTGTGTTATTTAGGTTTTTGTGCGTGTGAATGGTTAGTCTAAAATCCAAAAGTTCCCTCCAGAGGGAGTTTCTTAAAATATAATTTGAATGCACCTGCCAATTGCCTGGTCAAGTTAGATGCTGCGTATCACAGTGCACTGAGATTTGTGACAAACTGTAAAGCATTAACTCATCACTGTACCCTGTATGCAAGGGCTGGTCTGCCTTCACTAACTGTACGGAGGCTCAGTCACTGGTACATTTTTATATATAAAGCCATGTTAGGGAAACTTCCATCCTACATCTGCTCCCTGATCTCACGGCGAATTGTAAGTGGCTACTGCCTGAGATCGCATGCTGTGGTTTTATTAAATGTGCCAACTGCTAGGACTGTCTTAGGGAAAATAGCATTTAGATGCGCAGCTCCACTGTCTGGAATAGTCTGCAATTAAAATGGAAACTGAGCAATCTGGTGCCACTGAATGTTTTTAAAGCTCGGTTGGATGCTACTGAATCGGAAGCTGTTGGTACCTGTGCATGTGGATAGTATGTAAATTGTAATCCCTGTAATGCTACTGTATGATGTCCCTTTGTTCTGTTTATGTTTTTAATGTTTCATGTGGAACCTACTTGAGCAGGTCTCCCTTGAAAAAGAGATCAATGATCTCAATGGGATACAACCTGGATAAATAAAGGTGTGAAATGAAATGAAATGATCATCAGAAACAGTCCGAGGAGAACTGTTTTGGTGACCCCCCTTTTCATTTAGCAGATGACATTCCCATCAGACTTAACTGGACTTTTTGTTAAGTGGTATTTATTGTTTGAGTTATAGGAAGAACCAAGATGTTGAACATAGTAAACATTGTCTGCTATCAGCACATTAGCATTGTCATTTTAAGTATGTTAGCATTTAGCTTAAAGCTACGCCGTCCAAAAATACTTTACGGTTCTCTTAATTATTGTTAAGTTAGATAAAGTCATGTTGAATAAGATAATAAGTTAGAAGAAGATAAGCATTGAAGACAATCAAAATGTTTTTTACAAGAGTATTGTACATAATATTGGAGAAAAAGTCTATTTTCATCTCCCCCCTTACACAGACGATACATGTAATCTTTGATGTGAAGCATGTACAAACTGAATTACTTATTCCTGGAACTGCGTGCTCTGGCTCAATTCTTTTTTATTTTTGTATTCAACAAGAGGCTCAACCACTCAGTGCATGCTGTACGCAGTGAACATGTCTTCCCCTGTGCCACAGGAGACACTGCCTTCAAACTATGAAGGTCAGCAGTCTGACAGTTCTGTGAAACACTCATTTGAAGGTGTCTTTATGGAGGCAGTGGGGTGCTTGCCTTACTGTTACTACACCTTTTTATAATTGACTTTATGTCAGACAATTCCAATTCCTGTAGGGTATTTGTTAAATTCATGGACAGTTCCCCTCCTGGTGCTCTGAGAGCCCTGCAGGGAAAATAAACACTGAATATGCATAATGAATGAATTGGATGGACTCTATGCCTGTTGCTGATGAATTGATATGACATTTGAGCGCTTCCCCATTTGAAGGCTACTCTTCACTGTGTTTCATATTCCAGAAATCTGAAATGAGGGTGAGATGAACAACATGTTGCTAATTGAGTCTTGTGGGCGGAAACAATATGGTAATGAGCCTCTGAAAACTACACCGTACTAAGATTTACAGATGCTGAAGACCAAATACCAATCATTACAGTAAATGCCATTCTGACAAGAGCTGTCAACCTGCAAGACCCCACAGGTTGAATGCATAATTCAAAAGAAAATCCCACAAATTACTATTTCCCCTGAAAATAAATGATTGAGAAAAAAGATGGATTAAAATTGGGCCATGGCTGACAGATGTGACATTTGGTGGTGATCTTTATACTTGAATATTGTAATTGATCGAGTGGCATCTTCTCAACTGAGACCTGTCACAAGGGTATGTTTCAGTCATTTAGATTTGTAAATGGTAGACGTTTAATAAAGACTACTGTGTTGCTTCATCAGTGCTGAATCTGCCTTAGTTTAAAACCATTTGAAAGCTTAATTGTATAATTTATTCATACAACATATTACAAAAGAATTTAAGACAGCTGCTCTGATAATGTCTTACATTATGAACTGCTAAAATAATCATGAAAAGGCATTTTGTTTTTGCACATTACAATAGGGTTTTTATCAAAGCCTTAAAATCCATTTGTGAATCTTTAATAGGTTTTGTCCACGAAGTCGAACAAAGGAGAATAATCATGTTTAACACCAGAGAGGCAGCTACTAAGCAAACACAGTACAATTGAAGGTCTGGGCCTGAGAGACGATTAGCATATCAGATCAGCTACGTGACCATAGGCTCATTTGCATCAGCTCCCTTAAGGTCGACATCAAGCCTGCATGAATAACTCTGTTCTGAGATCTTTGAGTGTGTTGTTGGAGGATTTGTACGCTGGGAGGAATAAAACAAAAAGGGATACTTTTTTAAAAAGCAGTAAAAAAGGCTGCACTAAAGAGATTAGTCAAATATATTATCAACAGATTAATAATTAGAGACCAAAGTGAAAAAAATGTATAATAATTGTTAAAACCACTTATCAAGTGAAGATAGCAAATTGTTTTCAACATTTTCAAATATTAAAATGTGCTTTCTTGTCTTTGTTTAATATCATTGTCATCAATCATCTTAATTTTCCTTTGCGGAGATTACCACTTTTGGATCTGGTTGTTTGTGATGGACATTTGTGCAAAAGTAAGGACTGCATCATTCTCGAATGACTTCCAAAGCAACCACTTACGTACGGTCAGCAAATGACATGAGAAATGAAAGCTAGTGAACCGTGACCTTAAAGCATGAGGTGCAGAGGGACGTTTGGGCTCTCTGGGGCATTTTGTAAGTAGTAAAGACTTTATGTTTGTTTGCCACTACACATCTACTCGGATATCTATAATGCAAACATACTTGGGCAACTAGTTTTATAGCACTGGCTCCAAACAGAATCAGCATACACTATCATCATGGTATCAGCAGACTAAGGGATTGTGTAGTCCCTATATTGG